GGGGGCTGTGGGGTGGGGGGTAGTGTGTGCTCCCTGGTGGACCAGGAAGTGGACTAGCAGTGCTTCTGGTCCACTTAGCGTATGCTACTGAGCATGCTGGGGAGGCTCCCGTGCTTTTGTGGGGCACTGCATCTGCCCCAGCACTTCAGCATTCAGAGCCCCTGCTACCTAGACGTATGTAGAAAAAACATTTAAAGCTGTATCTACATCCAAATCTCTGAATTAATTCGGAGGGTTCTGAATCGATTCGGAGAAATGAAAGGGTCCTCTGATTAGATTCAGATTTGCGGATTTGGCCACCAAATCTCTGCTGAATCGAATTGGGGACTAAAGCTTTGCACAGCCCTAATATGTATGCCAAAAGAAAATCTAACTATTGGATGCACTTTACAAACATGCTGCTGTAGAACTGGGGTATTCTAATTTTACAAAGATGTGTTAATGGAGAAGATATTGGGTATCTTATTCTGAGAGAGGTTGTTAAGGCCAGTAATAGTTGTGGATCAGCAGGACAAATGTATGAAGCTGTAGAAGGAAACCTGGGCTGCTGACTTGGTAGAGATTCTTCTGCATAAGTTATGGGAAAACAAATCTCAGGGGTGTGCAGGACAAATGCTCAGGGCATGCAGAATGATGGAGCCCAGGTACCAGAGGTTGCATTGTTGTAGGAGGATGTAAGTTCTCTAGGGGGGACCTCCTACATTCTTCTGCAGGTGTTGTGTAGCTATTGGGTGGGGTGGGTTTATTTCATCATGCATCTGCTCAGAACCAAGCTCATTTAATTAGCATTGTGACTACCAACAGAGGTTAAGGTGACAGTTTTTTTTTAAAGCAGTAAAACATAGGTCACAGGTACAGATTGGTGCACATTTCTGTCCATCACCCTAGTGCTGAAGGCCTAGACCTAGCTATGCTGAAGTTAATACTATTTTTGTTTTGGAAGCATAACCAAGCAAGTGACAGTAGTTAAACATTCAGGGGTAGCAGTCTTCTCTGAGGGAAACTAATATGTAGCATCAAATGTAATTTTTTTTTCCTTGTCACTCAGAAATTGCTCTCTGAAAAACAAAAAACGCCCCCAGCCCCTGAAGTGACAAATAGTGGCATGTTTTAGTAATGGGAAATGAGGATTGTCGGGGATAATGAACACAGCACTTGAACTGTGCAGAATTGTTTTACTGCTCTCATGTGAATAAGATATGGTGGCTTTGCACTACTATGTTTCTCCATCTCTAAAGTCTCTCTTTAGAATGCTTAGGCCAGTACTTACCTGAGTTCACTTGCTTTGTGCTGCCAGCTTGCAGCGTATAAGAGCTAAGCATTCAGTCAAGTTTCATGGGCTGTTTTGGATAGATTAGCCAATTGCTCGTCAAGAATGACAAGGGGGTGGAGTGCCACCACCCAATGCCCCATGCTGCCACTGTTCTGCCTCTTGCATGGAGCGGAGTGGAGGAGCTGGGGCCAGTGCTGCTGGCTGGACCTCGGTGCAGCTTTGGAATCATGGTAGCACTCCTGAAATAACAAACAAAGCATCACAGACAGACAGACGTAGGCTTTTATAATATTAGATATGATTACGACTGAGATTTTTAAGGTAAAGGGGTGATGTGATGACCTTAAATTTGACCCTTCTCCAAATGTTAATGGGTTAGATGTAATATCCAGAACAACCTCCTATATTAGCTGAGGCATTAAAAGATCTACAATTAACCTTTGTTGGTTGTTTGGTTAATTATCATACTACTCAAAAAAAAAAAAAAAATTAATTTCCTGTTTGGGTTTTTGGTTGTAGCCGTGTTAGCCGAAGGCAAGGTTCTTTTGGTAGATGTGATATCTTTTATTAGACCAACTGAGTAGTTGGATAATTCTTTGTAAGCTTTCAGGTACAACCACCCTTCTTCAGGCATGGGAAGTCTCTGTTCTGAGACTTCAAGGAATGAGAGAAGCTAAAAGTGTGATGGGATATGTCAGTGAGAATGTAAATAGGTGGAAATTAAGAAAACAAAAGGTAGAGCAGGGAAGGGGGGGGGAACCCAAAGGTAAATAAGGGAGACTCTACAGGAGTATTAATTTAAGGTAGAAAAGAGGCCGTCTGTGGAAAAAGTAAATAACTGAAATTAGGAAGACAAAGAGCAGAAAAGGAGGAGAGGGGGGAGGGAAGGAAGTGGGGGTAGGGGAAGAAAAGTCCTAAGAGGTCAGGTCTGGCAGGTATCTGGTGAATCAGATGTCAGGCAGGTAGTAATGTCTCATAAATCCAATGCCTGTATTGAGTTCATGATTTTTGGATACAAAAAAATCATGGACTCATGATCTGTGAACTTTGTGTTTCAGCTGCAACTTACTCCACCATTTGCATCTACTGAACTAGAGCCAACATTATAAGTACCTGAAAAATTATTTGTGAAATTATTGTGAGAAATTGAGTTCTCATCTTCAATGTTTTCCAGGAGGTTCTTACAGCTCTGGAGAGTTTTAAGTGCTATCACCACATCTGGCAAAAGGATAAGGAGGAAGCAACTGATCAGTTTATGGAGGGGAACCCTTTACTGTCTGAACTTGAATCCCAGATCCTCTATTTCAGAGACCTGGAGCTGGAGATAAACTCTGAGCCTGAATACATTTGTGTGGGAGCTGTTGCACTCTACACTGGTATGGTAGTTAACAATATCATACAATGAAAAGTAAATTTTCCTGTTCAACTTGAGTTTATTAATAGTCATAGAAGCAATTGCTGAGACTTGTCTTAAATTTGACTTTTAAATTTATCTCCAGAACTATTCTTTTGACAAATACAAGGATTCTATGGAGCAACAGCATCCTAGGTTTCATCAGCCTTTTTATTGTTAAAACCTTTTTTTACCTATCACTGTTTAAACTTTATACATGCAGTTTCAGTTTCAGCAAGTTTAAAGTTAAGGAAAGAGATCATTATTTTCCTTTTAAACTTGGCATCATTTCATAAAAATGTTGAAAAATCATTAGTTTGGGGAAAGGAATGGGGTACAACGTGACCTTGCAAATGGTACTGTTAAATGGGCTAATTAGTATTTGAAATTTCTTAGGAACCTCCATGGGTCCTCGTGTTCTGGGGGGTGAAGTGGGGGACAAGTGTTTACAGGAGAGAGAAATGTAATCTTAGTGGCCATTGACCACAAAATGAAAGCTCAGCATATGTACCATACTTTTCTATATATTCTTTGCCTGCTTGCATATGATAGAGTACTTCCCCAGGCTTTAGTTTAAAATCCATTTAACAAGTTGTATATTCGTGAGAGAAGTTGTCTTCTATCTCATAACTATTCATATAGGTCATGTAAAAGTTCACATGTGAACCATCACATGAACTAAAAATAGTATGTCTTATGCTTTAATCTTGTTTAATAAACTAGTTCTAAGAGTTATCTGAAATCTTAGACCTTGTTACTAATCTGTCTCCATCCAGGTAGTCAGAGATGAAAGCTTTCATTTTCAAGGGGAGCAGTTTTATGTTACACATTTTAGATCTTGCCTAAGAATACTATCCCATGGTAACCAAAATTGGAGTTAGAGGCTATGATGAGCTGTCCAGATTCCCACAGAAGCTGGGATGGTTAAGAAATGACAGTAAGCACTGTCAGTCACACCTGAAGCACCTCTAGTATTCAGAGCTGTGGGAAAGAATACTAGGAGGAGAGGGCTTTATTCACCTGGGGCCTGACTAAGAAGCATCTCCAGGCCACTGCTCTTACATGGGGAGATACCTGGCTATAGCCTGTGACTTGATAGGAGTATGGCTTGTCAGTGCTCTTGGTGGAAAGATAGATGTGACATTAGGTAACTTGGATTTACCTTGGACCTGATGATGATGATGATTTTTCTGGGTCATGACATCGTGTGCCTTATTGGAGGGGAAGGAAGAGAGCCGTCTGAGAGCTGAGCCTGGAGTGTAGATACAGTAATCTTAGGAGTTAAAAACTAGCTCTGCTGGTGTAAAAACTTTTTTCAATACTAGTGTTTCTGACTCTGGCCTATCCATGATGCTGCTGCTGAGGGGAGCTGGTTGAATTTTCTTATTATTCTATGCAAAAATATAAACAACCAGAATAGGCAAGCATCAGTTAAAGGAGAAAGAGTGGAGGCAGCATTATCTTTCTCTACAAGAAGGTAATTGAAGCAGCAGTTTAACATGGTGTCAGTTTTCCTCTAGAACTTCATGTTGCAGGTCTGGAGCTCAAACACCAGAGTCTGTTGCTCCTTAGTGGTCAGGTTTGCCTGCTTTACTCTCTGCCTTTCTCCGCACCTCCTGCTTTCTGCTTGCCACTCCTTTGTATTAAATATATGATGCATTTTGTGAGTCTGCCTTGTGAAGCTGGAGTAACCCCTTTAGGTACTTTTTCCCTTTTGGCATGGTCCTCAGGTCTTCTCTGCCACCAACACAGTTTCTCGGATGCTTGCCTCCCCCTCGGGATAGTTTCTCCAGGGTATGCTTCCCCTTTCAAATCAGGCCACAGAGAGCCCTCAATGTAGTCCATTGTGCTGTCCACCTTTGGCCTGAACCAGCCTTGGACCCCTGGGCTCCATCTGTTTCTGGTCATATGACTCCTAGCTTGCTTAACTGAGCCCAAGGGTTTCTTATTAATTCCACAACTCTGCTACAGCCACCACTTCAATAGCACCCTATTGAAGGTTCAGCACCCTATCCCAATTGCTGCCTGCCCTAAGTAAATGGCTCGTCACCTGTCACTGCCTTGGAGGCATGACTTCTGACTTCCTTTTGCCACCTATTCCCTTCTGCTTTCACTCCTTGAAGTTATGGGCTACACTTGATACTTGCCCCCTTTCAAGCAAATGGAAAAGCTTCCACAAGTTAAAAGAACTGGCATGAGTTCTGTTTGGTTTCTGTAAGTGTACAAATTCATTATTAATATTTCTTAAAATGGTACTTACCATATTGAATCTTGATGTTTAATGAACGGAAGTTGGAGTGGGTGTGAAATTAATCAATCTCAAAAAGGCATGTGTAGCTTGAATTTCCATTGCTAATAAAGTGATGCAGGAATAAAAAAATATAACTTCATGAAGAATGACCCATGGGAAGAGTGCAGGTCTCACAAATAGGGTCTGGAGCAGGGAGCCATTAGAATGCAGTTGCTGGTTCTCTGAGAACAGTGGTTGGGGGTGAAAGAAGTTTCAAGATATTGGCAGTATTGTGTGCTGCAATGAAATGGTGTAGTGTGTTAGATTCATCCTCAGGGAGGCTGGTGGGTGGGGGGTGGAATTAATTAGCACAGCTCCAAGAGCCATACTAATTAAAAGCTCCTGGAGTGTTTTATCTATCTAACTATCTATCTCAGTGTCTCTGCACTGAAAATGGCAACAGGATGCTTTGAACTAAAGCTCATCAAACAAGCTTTAGTTTAAAGCACCCCATTGCCATTTTTCAGTATGGGGATGCTGATGCACGTGATACTGGAGTCTGGAGTGCAGTAATTTCCATGTTCCAGCATACTCAATTAAGTCTGCCCCGATGCACTGGAATTACAGCACATTGGAGCAGACTCCATTTGTGTGAATGCCTTCAGTAACTAAGACCCCCAAGAATGTCTTGAGGTCAGAAGCTGGGGGAACTTGATCAAGGGGGTTGAACTGGGGAGTCTGGGTGTTCTGAGAGTTGGCTGGCCCTGCTGTTTTAGGCTTATTCATTTCAGTATTTCTGGAGTCACTATGCTTATTACTGTCTGCAGGCACACTGCCTCCAACCTCTAATGCTCAGTGAGTCATAGGCCCTTTTATTTGGTATTATTAAAGGATAGTTAGTAGCATTAGTGCATTAGTAGGAATGATGCCAGCAGATCAAGGAAAGTAACTTCCCCCTCTATTCTGCACTGGTGAGGCCACACCTGGAGTAGTGTGTCCAGTTTTGGGCCCCTTACTACAGTAAGGATGTGGACAAGTTGGAGAGAGTCCAGCAGAGGGCGATGAAAATGGTTAGAGGGCTGGGGCACATGGCTTCTGAGGAGAGGCTGAGGGAACTAAGCTTATTTAGTCTGAAGATGAGAAGACTGAGGGTGGGATTTGATAGCAGCTTTTTACTACCTCAAGAATGGTTCCAAAAAGGATGGAGCTAGATTGTTTTCGGTGGTGACAAATGACAGAAAAAGGAGTAATGGTCTCACGATGCAGCAAGGGAGGTTTAGGTTGGCTATTAGGAAAAACTTTCTCACTAGGAAGGTAGTGAAGCATGGAACAGGTTACCTAGAGAGGTGGTGGAATCTCTATCCTTGGAGGTTTTTAAGGCCTGGCTTGAAAAAGCCCTGGCTGGAATGATCTAGTTAAGGATGTTCCTGCTTTGAGCACAGGGTTAGACTAGATGACCTCCTGAGGTCCCTTCCAACCCCAAGTTTCTATGATAAAACCAAATTCTAAACAAACAAATTGCATTTTTCAAAATGAAATAATTTTATAAACAGCTTTTCTTTTAAAACCTTCTTGCTAAACTTCTCCAACAGTCAAGAGAATAGGAAACCTTGGCAGTAATGGCCTGAAAACAAAATCAGTGGCTTGATTTGGAAAAGTGTGGCAGTTTAACAGAGTAAAAATTTGAGAGCTGCTTTTCTGGAAACTATGTAAAATCAACTTGCATTGTTTCTTCTAGCTGATCTGAAATTGGCACTGACTGCAGAAATAAAGGCCTGGATGACTGAGCTAGGACATTACAGTAACAAAAATTACAGGACTGAGATGGAAAATATCTTCACATTTGTAGAGGAAATCAGCAAGAAACTAAATCGCCAGATAAAGGATTTGGATGACATAAGAATAGCTATGGCTGCCTTAAAGGAGATAAGAGAGCTGCAGATCCATATAGACTTTCAAGTGGGACCTATTGAGGTAACTGAAAGGAGTGATACAGATGTGTTAGTAACTGGTGTTAATAGAAAATATTTTACCCAAATATAAAATTTGAAAGTGCAATTCATTTATATTTTTACTAAAAAATGAATGAGTGTTGTAAAGTTTAAACAATAAAATGGCTTGGTTTTGTAAAACCTACACTTGCAGCACTCCCATTAGGGCAAAGGCAGATTCAGGTGTGCAGAAATATGGTTTGTTAGCAGTATTCCTTTACTGCTAAGACAGAGGTCAAGAAGGGTAGATCAGGGGAAATCTCAAATGAGAGACATGACAGAGAGGTCTGTGGTTCCTAAGTCATAGAGAGCTCAGAGTTATGGAAAGATGAAAGATGTGACTGTTAAATGAAGAGCCCAAGAGGAGATATGAAATATGCTGCATTGTATACTATAGTATGTAGCTTTAACTGGTCAACTGAGTTGGATCCAGTGTAGGTTCTAGTGTTGCTGGAAAAAGACAAGCAACAACTCTATACTGGACTATGTACATTCCACCTGTCGGAAGTAGGGTAAGAATATGTGAAATGCGTATCCATGCATACAAATACATGAAATATGCTAATGTTCGTATGAATATGAACTGGTAAGCCAGCTTAGTTGCATGATGCTTTTAAATATCTTGGCATGCTAGAAAGGATTTGTACCTTTTATCATTATGTATGATTTTACAGAGGTATAATTAGATTTGCTTTACTTTTAGTACATCTCTCTCTCTTCTTCCCCCCCCCCCCCCCC